AGTTTCCGCGTGATCTCTCGGTAACAGGTGGGGACAACGCCTCTTATTGGTCAATTCGCCATTAAATTTCAAGCGGTCGCCTGGCGGTATCACTGCGTGCTCATGTTTTCGTATTCACCTTGCTTGATTGTTGCTGTTGTTGTTGTTAAGTGTATTTGAGTAATTTGTTAAGTTTCTGTTTCTGTTAAATACTGTCATCTTTGTTTTAAGCCCCCCATTCATTAGTGGATTGGTGTGACGGATTGGTTCGTCCTGACTTGTCCGCCGACCGATCCGCCAATATATGGTATCGAAAGACATGTCGCACAGCGGTCCGGGTCGGGTTGTGAGTCCGCTTGTTTGAATACCGAACCTACGACCCGACCGCGACCAATCCGTGCTGTTTTTACAATGTGTGTGTAACTTGTCAAGACTTGTCCGGTGACGAAAGAGTTCTTCCGAGATCAACGAAAGTATCAAGGCATTTTTTGAAGGGAATTCAAATTAAAATGTCTTTTGAAGATAATAAATCTTTTTGGGAGGAATTTATCCAACTTTACCAGGAAAATCCTTGTCTTTGGGACATCAAGTGTAAGGATTACCGCAACAAACAGAAAAAAAATGCTGCGTATGAGAATTTAATTAACAAAAGCAAAGAAATGTTTCCAGATGCCAACAAGAAATTTGTTATCAAAAAAATATCGTCCTTACGGTCATCTTTCCGACGCCAGATAAGGCGAATTAATAGTTCAAAGAGAAGTGGGGTGGGAACAGAAGATGTACCAGAACCTACATTGTGGTATTTTGATCTATTGTCTTTCCTGATGGATCAAGAAGAGTCTCGTGCAGCGGTTTCTTCGATAGAATACCTAGATGACCAATCACAGGCCTCAGTAAGTAGATATTTTAACTAACAAATAATCTAAAAAGACAATATTTATAATAATTCAGATATTTTATTTCAACACATATACTATACATCTTAAACTTAATATACAAATTTGTGTTGAAAGTCAACTTCACCTGCATTATTATAATATTCTTTATATCCATTTCGTATCATCTTTGCGTCAATAGTCGGAGATCCTTGCCTGGACACATCTAATGATATTAGTTCTCCATTCATGTGCATATCACCTATCAATACAGTCCCTGAGATAATGTCTTCAGTATCGATGTTATTAGGTTGTATGTAAGAAGTGCTTTTGCGGCGTAAAAAGTTGTGTAAAACACAGCATGCCATAACGATATCATCAACTGTATCCACTTTAGTAGCTATTGGCGTTAGGAAAATCCTGAATCTATTTGCCATGATCCCGAATGCGTTTTCTACTACGCGCCTGGCACGGCAAAGTCGATAGTTGAAACATTTTTCTTCATAACCAATACTGTTGGTTTGTCTGTATGGCGTCATGAAATTTGTCATTAGACTAAAGGCTTCGTCACCAATAAACACAAAGGGTAATTTATTTTGAATTCCTCGCATATTGACTGGTTGGGGTAATTTTAAAGAATCTGTTATCAGTAAATTGTAAAAATTTGTTTTCTTAATGACCCCCCCGTCTGATATTCTTCCATTAGTTCCACAACTTACATAAGTAAATTCATAATTAGCATTTACGGTAGCAAACAACACAAAACTGAAAAATCCTTTATAGTTATAATAGTATGAACCACTTCCTGGGGGCTGTTTGATAGCTATGTGTTTGCCGTCTACGGCTCCTAAGCAATTTTCAAATTGCCACATATTGTTAAATCCTTCTGCTACTTTGAGCCATTCCTCTTCTTTTGATGGAAACTGAAACCAAAAATAACACAGCTATCATATGAGGCAAAGTTAACTGTGAGCTATTTTATTGCAGGAAACCGATGCATACACACAACATTCTGATCAAGATTTAGATTCATCATCAGTTTTATCGCCTGAAGCTCCTCAAAGTGCAACACCAAGTTCCCGTAACAAGCGAACTCTCAACTGCACAACTTGGACACAGAAGAAAAATAAATTTTTGGATGCTTCCATAAAAGTATTGGAAACTCCGCAACAGGATGTTCTTGAACCACAAGAAATAACATTTGGCAAAAATACTGGTCAACAATTACAGGATATTGCAGTTGGACAGAAGATAATAGCCCAAAAACTGATTTCGGATGTGCTATACCATGCAAAATTGGGAAATCTCACACATTCTTCTCATATTTCCCTGGGTTACCAACCACCATCATATCAAAGTGCCCCATGCGTTCCGCAAGCACAAATATTTCAAAACTCATGCTCCAGGTATACAACATCCTTTAACCCAACCTTTAATGAACCCAGCACGTCATATACACGTCAACCAGATGTACCAACTTTTACCACTTTGACAACTCCAAATCAGGCGTCTGCAAATAGGGAAGTGATGGAAGAATTTTTAGTTTTTCCCAGGCAAAATAATTAAGAAGTGATAAGGTACTACGAGTATTACAGACTGATTCACATATCTTTAATTGTTAGACATAATTTGAAATAATAAAAGTTTTTTCAACACTCTGTTTCTTATATGCATCAGAATACATGAAAAAAATAATTATTGTACTTACACATAAGTATTTCTTCCGGAGGCAGTTGTATATAGCACGACACGTTTCTGGAATTATTCTTCCAAGTAACTGAGGAGAAATTATACAAGAAAACTTTAAGTCTTCATAACTCCTTCCAGTTGCCAGAAACCTCAAGGTGGCCAACAGACGTTCTTCAACGCTTACTGCTTCTCTGAATAAAGTGTTCTTCTTTTCTATCAGAGGTTTTACTAGCATTAATAATTCTTGGAATGCGTCATAGTCCATTTTGAGGTAATTTATAACATCAAGTGGTTCACATGATTGGATACATTTCAATAATCGCAAATGAGTAAATTGTTCTCTCTTTTGCAGCCATTCTTTCACCCAAACACGTTTTTTCTTTTTTTCTGATTCTAATAATATGATTGTACCTACAGCCAAAGCAACTTTCGCCTTTTTTGATAATATCGGAGACATAATGCTATTGGGTTCGCCACATTCAGTGTACAAATGAGCTCTTTTGCAGGGTTCGTGTAATTTCCGTCTAATGTATTGACAAACGTGGATGAGTCGTCAGTCGGGTCCCGGTTGCCGTCCGAGTTCAGGTCCGTCTAGTGAATGGCCCGCATTACAACTCGTTGGTGGTAGTCCATCATTCGGAGGTAGCCCTGAATGCGGCCCTGTACGCCGTCCTTGCTTTTGGCAATCACGCATCCATTCTATCTTGGGTGTAAATACACTATATATTAGTTGGACTGTACTTACATAGAAGTCTTGATGTTCTTCAGCTCAGTAGACCACAAAAAATCTGAGTTGAAAGCAAAATAATTACCAACCATCAATGTGCCAATGTTCGTCATATGTGTGCTCCAACGCCCATAAATGTGTTTTTAATAAAACGGGAAAACGATAATATTTTACGTTGATCATGAGTTTTTTAGAAATATTTTATGAAGACAATGTTAGTCCACAAGTGACATACGAATGACATTTATTTGTTCACAGTTTGTATGATGTCACATCATGGCCGATAGTGTTTTGACCGTTTAGTATTAAACCTTAAAAATATTTTTTTAAATTGGTCTTATAAGGGGTGTCTCAACAAGAGCACCGGATTTGATTTTCAAGAAAAAAACAAGGGTCGGCCAATTCTTCAAATTCTGGATAACGTTTTCGCACAACTATGGTTCTATTTCGTCGATAAGGCGCCGTTCAACTGTCTGTGGCTTGTTCGCATACACCTTTTCCTTCACATAGCAGCACAGGAAGAAGTCCATTGGCGTTAAATCACACGATCTTGGTGGCCAATTTTGATCGCCAAACCGAGAGATGACACGGTCTGGAAACTTGGTCCGCAGTGACACCATTGTTTTGCGTGCTGTGTGGCAGGTCGCACCGTCTTGTTGGAAGAACATATCCACCACATCAATTCGATCCAACTGAGGCCACAAAAACTCGGTTAGCATTTCGCTATACCGCACACCATTAACAGTTACCGCATTTCCGGCTGCATTTTCGAAGAAATACTGTCTAATCACTCTGGTTGTTCGATTGTTACACGAGGTTTTTCAGAACCCCAAATTCGGCAGTTCTGCTTATTGACGTACCCGTTCAGTTGAAAATGTGCCTCATCAGAGAAAATGATTTTCTTCTAGAAATCCGCATCAATTTGGTGGTGCTCCAGCGCCCAATCACGGTGCTGCGCATGGTCCGTTGGCTTTAGTTCAAGCGCCAGAGGAATATTGTACGCATGCAAGCACAGATTTTTTTGTCAGAATTAGTTGCGGATTGGGTCTGGTAAGGTTCAATTCTTGGCCACGATGTGCCTGGATTCTCGAACAGACTTTCCCGCACTGCGACTATATTTTCGAGGGACCGACCAGGACGGCGACAAACAAGTAGTCTTAACATTCAGCAACGTGAATTTTGTCTCAAATTTTGTAATTAAACACGAAGTGTCGACTCATTTGGCGCATTATTGCGACCGAAAATTGTACGTAATTTGCGAACTGATTCGCGTAATTTTCTCCATTTTTGTAGTGAGTTTTCACAATAATTAAACGTTGCTCATTTGAATACTGCTCCATGACGTCTAATCGCGTGGTCTGGACATGACAGGTGTCATCAAGTAAACACCATACCAATTGTACAAAAAAAAATGGTGGCAAATTCAAATCCGGCGCTCTTGTTAGACACTCTTTATATCCATTTTGCGCTTATATAAAATTCTTTTTCGTTTTCCTAAGAAATAATGTGAGAAATACTTATTATTCATTCTATGAAATTAGATATGAGTCAGGTAGCCTATTGTGAATATTTTGAAACAAATCCGGCTCAAAAAAATTTTACTAGACGAGACTTTTGACTAAGCAAAAGTTTGTCAAGCCAAGTAAGTCATGATGTGATTTATTTCCAGTTTCAGGATTATCGTTCAATATCCGGTCCACATGGAAATTAACAAATTTAATCTGTTCCAGGCTCAGACAACCGAATCTTTATGTCAAACTTGGCTACGCACGCCCCTGTGTTCAAAATGATCATCCATACCGGCGCTACGTCACTGGACATCAGCCCCGACAATAGCATGTTGGCCGTAGGGCTAGAGGATGGAAGTGTTTACCTATACGACATCCACGACCCGCTGAAGCCGCTACACGTTCCGAACGCTCACAGCGGGCCCGTATACAGGATCGCGTTTGAGAGGGGGCCGGTGGTTATGGATGAGATTAGGGCGAATCTTGAGAAGGGCTCGGAAACTACGTTGAATGCGAGCCAGATGAGTGAAACACAGGTAATAGAAATGTGTGCCCGCAGGGACGGGGGCTCAGAGGTAGCCGTGCCGTATCAGATACGGCGTTGAAATTTTGACAGCTACTTGCAATGGCGAATTGATCACCAGCTCAATCTGAAATATACAAATGAGCGCAACCTAGCTGGGGGAACAATACAATCAAGGGAAAAGGTATCAATTTTAAAATTTGTATATGTGGCATAACCCAAACATGCAACTTTTTTGTGTATCAACTAAAGAGGGTGGCAATAAGATGGTAGACAAATCTAGCTCTACAGAAATGATCAGCGCAGTATTTATGATTCAATGTGGTTATTGCAGCACAGGGCCCGGCTATATAACCTATATCTCGGCTATAACATCCATATCTCTGCTATATCAGCTATATCTTGGCAGTATTGTTTACTACGTGTAGACACAAGCTTCTCAGAATTTCTGATGAGAAGTGCTACAAAATCAGACGAGGTTGATTGACGACATTTTGTAGGGTTCCGATAGTTCAGCAGTCTGACAGCAATATTTGAAAATACACTGCCACGCAAAATTAACCGGACAAACAAAATTTTGTTCAAATTAAATTTTAAATAACCTTTGCATCAATTTCGATAATGTTTTCGTCAAGTTGTCATCGTTATCGACTGCCTATCTTGCAAAAAATTCAAAATATTTGTTATACAGGATGTAACTAAAAAGTGCATTTTGCCCTAAATTTCTGAACACCCTGTGGAAACATTGAATTATTGAATAATGTGTCTTCACATGAGAGTTTTAAGCCTCAACTTTTCTCAACAGTTCTTTTTTGATTTATGTCAATATCTCAATTATTGAAGAATATATGCTGTTTTGAAGAAAATCATGCAAATCATAGCCATAAAAAAATTAATTTAAAATATTACAGTGACAACATTGATAAGAAAACTATGCGAATCATAATCATAAGCAATTTAACTTAAAAAATTACAGTGGCATCATTGGTAATAATTAGAAATTGTTATCAAAAACGAGTATTTCCTCCCCGGGCTTGAATAACAGCTCTCATCCTCTTTGCCATACACTCAATTAAACCAGCTATTGTGTCTTGGGGTATTTGCTCCCAGTCGTTTACCAGCGCCTGTTCCAACGCAGTCAGAGTTTTAAATGCTCCATAGTTCTGCCTAAGCCTTCTGCCTAATATGTCCCACATGTGCTCAATGGGGTTGAGATCCGGAATCCTTGGTGGCCAGTCTAGTACTTGAATTCCAACATCGTTGAGGTATTGCCTGGTCATTCTGGCTATATGCGGCCGAGCATTATCTTGCATTAGGAGCACATTTACTCCTCTAAAGGGCATATGAGGAACCACATGTTCTTACAAACACTCGTACGAGTACCTGTCGGCAGTAAGGGGTCCTCCTCGTAGCGAAACAAGATCTGTGCGGGATTCCAAAGAAATACCGCCCTATACCATCACTCCTCCACCACCAAAGTATACTCTAGTAGCGAAACAACTTTGAGCATAGCGTTCTCCACGCCTTCTCCACACTCTTTGGTGGCCATCAGGTGAATATCTCGTAAAACGAGACTCTTCTGTAAAAAGAACGTTTTTCCAGTCGTCCATATCCCAATCTGCATAGGTTCTAGAAAATACCAAGCGCTGCCTTCGATAACCTACATCTACTAGAGGACCTGTAGCAGGTACACAAGGTGATAGGTATCCTTCTCTCAACCTTCGGCGTACGGTCAGGTGAAACTATGGTACCATGAACATCATCCAATCTTCGAGTCAAAGCTGTAGCAGGACCTGTCCTTTCTCGAAGAGCTTGAAGTCCCAGAAACCGATCTTTAGCTGCATTTGTTGCTTTCCGTCTTCCTTGCCCAGGTCTTCTTGAGCAAGAACCAGTTTCTCTAAATCTGTGTATCGCACTGAATACCGTACTGCTTAGATCGGCAAGCCTTTCTACGATATACCGGATAGGACGACCATCATCTTGTAAAGCTACAGCTTGGCGCTACTTGTTCCAGTGTCATTTTTATTGAGTATTGCTTTACAAGGATCTTTTTGACATGCCATAAAAATGCCAACAGACACAGCCTACTTGAAACAATTTCTTACCCGGCAAAGCCTGCTTGAAACAATTTCTTGTTTATGGCTACGATTCGCATGATTGTCTTCAAAACAGCATATATTCTTCAATAATTGAAATATTGACAAGAATCAAAAAAAAGAACTGTTGAGAAAAGTTGAAGCTTAAAATTCTCATACGATCATACGAAGACACATTATTCAGTAATCCAATGTTTCCACAGGGTGTTCAGAAATTTAGGACAAAATGTACCTTTTAGTTGCATCCTGCATAACAGCAAAAACATTTTAAATTTTTAAGTTTAAGAAGTTATTTAAAATTTAATTTGAACAAAAGTTTGTTTGTCCGGTTAATTTTGCGTGGCAGTGTAGGTTTGGCACGTCAAACATGTGTAGCTATACTAAAAATGTTGCTTGCAGTATGTTGCTCGCTATTCTATTCCAGCTAGTACTGCCCATTTAGAAACATCATTATAAAATAGGTCACTGTGTGACACTTCTCTATTCCAGGTAGAACAGCTCTATTCCAGAGGCGACGGTGAAAAGTGCCAACAGGACTCCGTGGAAATGCGCATGATGGAAGAAAGGCTCCGAAAAGAAATGATACACATGGTTAAGAACCACATGACGTACCTGGAACGCAAACTCATGGAGCATTGCGCCAAGTTCCAGGATTTCATGGACAGCGAGTTCAGGTACGTTTCCAGTGCAACAATGTAGAATGTTCTTCTTGTATTCCAAGCAGCAAAAAGTGATACACGAATAGATAGGTCTGTATAGATAGAAAAAGATTTATTAACGCGAAAATTTTATCTTCATTTTTTGCTGTAGGAAGGACGGATCAAGGGGGGGGGGATGCGTTACCGATGATTGCAAATTGAGGAGCACGAGGAGGGGATGGGGGCTGTGCTGAAGCAACGTTTCTGAGATTAAATGATGCCCTTATGACAATTGAAGCAAGGGAATTTTCACACCAAGATAGGAATCCCATCATGCATGGGGATCTCAATACCTGTGGAAGATACAGCTTACGTTAAATTGTAAAAAGTTGTGTTATTTTGAGTCGTATTTACATGCCGTTGAGAAACTTGGGGAAATGTTTGTTATTTTAACACATAGTAGTTGTACCTAACAATATTTATTTTTCAATCCAATTAGAAGAATCACAATGGAGCGCAATTGACCAATCTTACGTTTATTTTGTGGATCTACCGCAATTTCAGCCTCACGACTTTTCGTTGAACAAGTTAATGTGGTAGCACTGGGCAGTCCTGTGACTGGGCAGCTGACCTGATGAAACTCACAAGGCAGTTCTTCTTATTGCTGCAAGTTGTTCGAGGGGGTAGGTACTTAAAGCATGGACAAATAAAATGGCTACACCATCTTTTTTTGTGGGAAAACTTTTGATTCGACAACAAAGAATGAGGAAACGTGTTTTTTGGGATTCAATCAAAAGTGTTGACAGGAACGAAAAAACTTTTCAAATAAGAGTTTTAGGTATTTATGAGACCTACAAAATGGGACCTCTCGTAGAAAGATCCGACTAATAGCAAAAAAGTTATGGCCGGAAACCGGGACAAACTGCAGGTTTCGGCACTTGTTGGTAATGCAACGATCGATGGTTTCTCGCAGATATTTGAAATTCTTCATATTCGTAGAATTCGTACTTCTTAATAACCACCAATTTACTCCAAAATTGGAGTAGATTGGTCAAGCAGTTTTTGAGAATTTCTAATTGTCTATCCCAAACCTCCTGTTTTCTGACCACTACTGGTTCATTGAGCAATATACAGGGTTCGTTCAAAGAGCATTTTGACAGCAAAATGCAGGTGCTTACCTTGCCGATATGAATTGCAAACCGTTCCGGAAGATAAATATTATTTTTTACGAAAAAACGTTTTTTCTTGTAAACAAATTCAAATATTTCGTATTTGTGAGTGATTCGCAACAAGATGATAGACACATCCCAAATGTGAATAGTAACGTATGTTTTTGAATAGCGTAGCGTATTTGTTCAATTACTCACAAATACGAAATGTTTGAGTTTGGTTAGAAGAAACGTAACCTTTATTTTTCGCATAAAAATAACATTATCTTTCGGAATCGTTTGTGATTTATATCGGCAAGGTAAACACGTGTATCTTGCTATTAAATGCTCTTTGAACGAATCCTGTATATTGCTCAGTAAACTAGTAGTGATGGCCGGAAAACAGATGTTTTGGGAGAAACAAATAGAAATTCTCAAAAAACTAACAATTTTGGTGTTGTTATTTAGAAGTATGAATCCTTACGGTTTTTCGGCCATAATATTTTTGCTATTAGTCGGATCTTTTTTGTAGGTCTCATAAATACCTGATAATCTTATATGGAAAGTTTTTTCGCTCCTGTCAATTCTTTCGATTGAATCCCAAATAACACGTTTTCACAGTCTTTGTTGTCAAATAAAAAGATTTCCCACAATAATTGGTGTACCCATTTTATGCGTCCATGTTTTAAATACCCCCTTGAACAACTTGCAGCAATAAAACCAGACCTCACAATTATTTCGGGGAAGTTTGCTAATATGATTAGACTACAATACCTTTGATAACAAGTGATTATGGTCTCCTAGGACACCAGTAATCTGTTACTCATGAAATAGTCCACATAACACCTACTTTCCAAGGAATCTGTAATGCTAAGGTTTGTCACTAAGTTTGTAGCGCCATCCCTGGGAGATAATCCGAACTTTTTATAGAAAATATACGAATTGTTATAGAACCCTTAAAATATATAGAATACCTACGTGCATCGAAAATATGTTCTAGAGCTTGTAGCTAAATTTTGAGCAAAATCTTTATTATTGCATGGAGAGTCATGGTGTCCATTTTCGACATTTACTTGCCTAAAGGGTCAGTTCATTCTTCATTTTTAAATTACTTTGCTGCCAAATGTATTGATCTCCACTAAAGATGATCTATTACTTTTATTTAAGCTTTAAATCAATACATCTTCAAAACTAATGAACTGAAGTACATTAATTTTATATCATTATAAAGGGAATTGAAAGACCTTTAAAATAAGGTATCACTCGACCCCCCTTTCGATTTAAGGTTTTAGGGTTGGTGTCACCACCGCCCAGGGGGCTGCACGTGTTAACGTGATTTTTTGCCAAACTTGTGACACCCTCGAAAACAAAATCGACGGATCTGAGCGTTTTTCCAAAAAAAACTGAGCTGCCAGTAAATGCGTCTGTTTCGTTTTCGATGCGCCACCCTGTATATGTAATCAAAGTTATTAATTACTTGAAGATTGAAGTTCAGGAAGATGTAATGTAGGAGAAGCTGTTCTTTTCGGACCTCCCTTAGTTCCAGGCACTTTATCACTTTCTGAAAAATGTAAGTCACACACCAAATATCTTTTATAAATTTATTCGTGACTTTTATTGTCCAAAACTGGATTTCGCACCTGCTCGACCCATTTATTAAAAAGAGCGGCATCATATTTTGGAAATGTATACCATTTACTGATTATATCAGTACAACTATTCAGCAAGCACTCAAATCTCCGCGTTCGATAAGCTTCCATTAAAAGATTATGTTTGTAAATTTAAATTCAGTTTAACGGTCAATAGATATCAGTATCACCGACACAAAACTCATAAAAATACCAGCACCGCACAAAATTCAACGTTCAATTCAAATCTACAAAGACATAAAATAAACAGTGAACTGTCAAAAACAACGACAGGAAAATCCGGCATCAACGCCACTCTGTGGTTGTACTCCGTACTTACTATATAAGATTATTTGGTTGCGTACCAAACATACCTTCAAAGTCACTCATTTAACTTTATTTCATAAAGCAGGTGTTATGTGAAATAGTCTGTCAAATACCATTTGGGCATCTCGTTTTTTTCCTGTGAAAAGAATCGAAAAAACACATTTTTTAAATTAATACGTGCTTTTTCGATTTTTTAAATTAATACGTGCTTTTTCGATTTTTTTCGGAAAAATGGTCTTATATTAATTATGAAAAAATCGACTATATTCATTAGATCCATTATTAGAAAGATGCTATCTCATTGGTCCACTTTGATCCGGGTCAAGAATTTTGATCTCAAATCGGGCCTTGATATTGGAAACATACCTTTCAGCGCATTGCACAACGCTATGGCCAGATGGGACATTTTCAATCTGGTGGACTTGCCGCAGATCGCGCAAGTCATTGATAACGTAGACGTAAAGAGCATGAAGAGTGGCATGATTAGGAAATAAATAGCCGGTCAAATTGGCAGAAAATGTAAACGTTTCAATAAAGTTTGTGATGATAGAATTTGTTTTCCTTTACCTAGTTCGTCGGCCCAAAAATTAGTCCATCGCTACATCGAACAAATTGTGCAACAGCTAAGTAGCTGTTGTACCCTGTTCGAAAAATGGTGGGTAAATATCTCCTAGACAGCCTTCCAGGAGGGTTATTAGTATTACGGAAGAAAGACTAAAACTGGTGTTAAAAGTTTAGTCAGAGGGCTTTAGTCACAAAACTTATAGCCTTCTACTTGTAGGGTCTTAAAGGTTCTAATCCCCACAATTTGGCAACTACCTAAAGTGATCATACACCCCTAGAATGTTTGCCGTTTCTGTTTCATGGCCGGCTCCAAGTTAACCTCATTCTAATCATTTCTTAAAAGGTTTGCAAAATTTGTACGTACTACCCGTTCTACAAATTTTTAAAATTGGTGCCTATGTCACGTTTGTTCAGTGCCTTCAGTGTATTCCCTCTCCCAATTATCTCGCTTTCATGCTTCAGGTCGTTTAGCGTTGTATTTTATGCAAATAATGTGGTAGTTCTTTTTACATATCCTACAGAAGAAATAAATTGGTAGATATTCAAGTTTAGGTATTTTTGTTTAACTGGACAACTTCGCAACAAGCATACTTATTTTTCCACCGTATCCACTTTTTTTACACACATGTTTGATATGAACTGTAATTCCGTTATCGAATATTTTGCAATTCACAAGAATTCTGAGAATAAAGGTGTATCAAAATCTGAGCAAGAAGCATTTAGGCTTATATCTCAGACACTTTGCTACCTTTTGGAATAATATTTCAACTAGACAAATATCTATAATAATAATAATAAGGCCCATGCTTTCTTGAGGTGTTAATTGTCGATTGAATCTTTACGCCGGTCCACATTAGTAGTGATATTATACTACCAGAAGTGTAAACATATTATACTAACTGTTCAGCCATATTCGATATAGTATTTCCGTTTAATATTACCAGGGTCCAAGGGCCGTATCGTCAGTCGCTCCTACAATTATTATAGGACGCCTTCATGGCTTCCTTGATTTTCATAGCCTTTTCTCTCCTTCAGAAAGACTGGAGTGTTTCTAGATTTATGCTGTTCCGTGTCAGCGTCAGCGCTGATATAACATGATATAAATCAAAAGCATGAACAATTTGACGCAAATAGATATTTGTAACATAACCTCAAAATAGAGCGCTGTCACGGAACAGTAGAAAACTATGAAAAATAAGGAGGCCATAAAGGCGTCCTACAATTGTAGGAACGACTGACGATGTCTGCAGGCAACAAAAACGACTATACAGTAACGTAATTCCAAAACTAAAACTAACAATATAATAGCACTGCACGATTATTCCAGTTGGGGATACCGATTCAAAATAGGCGTTAGAAATGCCAAAAAGACATTGTAGATCCTCTAGCAACATCTATGAAATAGTAGCAAAACCAAACACTATGGAGTTTCAAATAAGATTTCTATTTTTTTACGTTCCGCTACTGTCTTATAGATGGCGCTAGTATCTTTTAAATCTCTTCTTGGTGGCTACCTTCAGGTGGAATATGTTCAATAGAACTCCATGATCTGGTCAAATGAAACTGCATAAGGGTTAATTAAATTTTACCAGCACCGTGGTCTTTTTCAGCAATAATTTATACTTCAAAAAGACCGCCGTGGTGGCTGGAACGTTGGTTAAAAGTAATTAGTACATATTATGGAATCCTAGTGCTGTCAACATGAAAACCTCAGAATAAGTTTTAGCTGTTAGAACGTTAATCAACGGTATAACACCAAACTATAATTATTTATAGAAACTCGGCATATTTGCTGTATAATCAATTCCACACTAACTTGTTAGCATAGGTGCATTATAAATTATACATAATATTTATATATCAGTAATTCACACACAACTGCGTTCATGCTCACACAATCTTATATCTTATCATCCCGAGTTGAATCCGTGCATTCCGCAGGAAACTATTCAAGCTAAGACGACTGACGCTGTGCTGTTAAACCAAACCGCAATCCCCATTAAAAAACGTCCACCAGACCGCAGTTGGGTTCCATTTATGGCCGAGCTGATAATTTCAGCGTGCACAACGTGGCAACGTCGTACTCCACGCCGCCGACTCGGCGAATTCCGCTGGAACAACGGCCGGCTCGGCAGTTGTTCCCGTCGACCGGCTTTCATTCTACCAGACCCGACTTTAAAAAACTCTTTTCATCTCTTCTTAGAGCTCTGTATCCTCCATGTAATACAACATATCTGTTATTCGCCGGTCTCCTTTGAATAAAATTGAAGGCGGCCAGGCAATAGCTGAATTGATCTTTTTTAATTAACTGTGGAGAGTGCCAATATTGCTGTTGATCTATTATCGGATGCAATTGGCGAATTAACAATGATCAAGCAAGCTGCAGTTGTGACCCCGGGCTCATTTCGTTTGATATTGACAACGTAGACTGGGAAGTGCAGAGTCAACATACTTGAGGCAATGTTTTTTTGAGGGCTATTGCCTGGTCAGGCATCATCAGGTCACTGTTGCCATTTATAATACCTATCATAGCCGGTCGTGTAATATTGGTAGTAACATACTGTATTAGATTTGAAGGATAATTTTATATATTCACTAGAACCATTGATTAACGCATTGTATCTGACGAATATTACGGCGTCCAAAAAATTAGCTATACTATATGAGTATATATGCAGCACCATTTATGAGACACTAAACATGTCAATGTAGATTTCTAATAATGGCTGAGAGTATCCGTTGGCCCGTCATAGGGGATGGTTCGCATCGGCCAACGTTGGATCGCGTTGCAACCGATATGGGAACTCAGGTTAGATTGTTTCACTAATTCACAATGTATTGCAATTATCATTAGTCGATTTACAAAAGTTCTGAGTTTATTAGTTCTGTGACATATTAAATATATTGAAAGTGTAAATAATAGTTTGTGTTCTGCCCATGGCTTACAGACAGGCAACGTGTGAACACCCCTAATGCAAAGCCTAAGGATTTGCTGACTTCACAATTATCTATGAAAAAGAACATTTGCGGAGAAGCATAGCTATGACGAATTGTTATAGATGACAACAAGATATCTCGGATAATTTTTTGGACGCTCAAATACAGTATATCTTCAGGTAGAACACGTTAATCAATGTTAGTATTAACTCAATGTACTTATAATATAAAATGAAAGAATTCATAATATAAAGATAAACATGGCCGCAAAAAGTTAAAACAAAAGTTTATGAAGCTTGTTGCATAGTCAACGCGACTAAACGTATCGATCGGACTAACAGGTATGACGGTGTTATCATCACGGGCCGTTTGCGTTGTTGAAGCTGACATGTCTATACAAAGTGTCATATAGGTATTCTAAACCCAACCGAATGTTGTATTGATTTCTAAATAAGGGAAAGTGAGCGGATATCCTAAGGCTACGCTAGCATTGTCGCAGTGTGTTCAGTCGCGCGGGTCGCTGATACTCGACGCGACGATATCGTACACGCGTTTGGTTAGTTGTCATACTTATTACTTTTTACTTCCCATATCCCACACTGGCGGGGAAGTACTGTAATCGCGAAAATTTCGAAAATGAGGTACGAAGTTTTTTTGTTGTTATGTGATATCTAGATCACGAAAAAACATGTCACATGTAGTGTCTATCGGTTAATCCCTGGCCTTACTGGACTTTAGCAAGGCTTTTGACTGAATCATGAGCTTTTGATTTCTGAATTTAAATACATTGGACTTGACGTTTGGGCTCTGAAATGGATATACTGTTATCCAAATGAGCGACATCAATGTTCCTCAATATATACTTTTGGTATCTCGAACACTGTTCAAGTCAATATTATGCTGATGATATTCATGTTTTCTATAGCTTCTGTCCGAACAACTACCACATAGCTAAACACCTTATTACACTAGATTTTTAATGTATATGTACATATGCCACAAAGCACAATTTACTACTTAACGGATCCAAAAGGACAGCTTTACTTTTTTGCTTGAGCTTTCCTCAAATCAATATTAAACGTGTCTATCAATTATATCTTACTTACATTTTCCACTAACGCTAATAATTCAGGTTTATGTTTGTATGAAGATGTCAGAGTTCCAGGAGCATGTCAGCGATGTTTGAAGGTCTAGTTGACTAAGGGCAGTAGGTATCGTCTTGTTCCTACATATTGTAGGACGACTTTATGACCTTGATTTTCATAGTATTTTCTCTCCTTCAGAAAGAATGGGATATTACTAGATTTGTACTGTTCCGTGTCAGCCTATTGTGAAGGCCTATGTTCTCTTTTTGACTTGTAAGAAATTTCAGGCTGATATAACCGATGATATAAACAAAAAAATGAACAATTTGATGCAAGTATATACAAAGGGTACTACAAAAGTTTTGAAATACAGCTTTATTTATTGATTTCGTTCAGATTGGGATTTTCTGACAGCTGCGGGTGTGTCTCTATAATCAAAGACCCAAACTTTGTTTTGAGCCTTGGTCGGCACATCGTAATAATAGAGCCAAGTCTCGGCACCTGTCACGATACTATTCACATACCGAGATTGCCCCTTATCGAACATTTTGAGCATCTTTCGGCACAAGTCGTATGACAAGTCTTCTGCTCTTCCGTCAGACTATGCGGTATTGATATTGATAAAATGCGTAGTTAAACCATACATTTGGGTTGTAGAAAACCACTGAGTAACGTGTGCTATCTGAAGATAGTCTACCTAATGATATCTTTCCTCGTACAAAAAATTATCCGAAATGAAATGGGATACCATCTGTCATTATTTATCACATCTATGTTTCTCCTCGCCCTACTAATAATAAATCTACGTTGAGAAGGTTAGTGTCTCATACATGGCGCTATGTAGCCTACAAGATTAGCATTTAACGTATTAATAAGTTAGCAACATCAATTTTTTTTAATATTGTTTTTCGGGGTCAAAACGGCATATTTCTCAGTCTCTAAAATATCAAATTGCTTTTATCTCGA